TATCCATCTTCGCACATTTTTTTCGTCAACGTCGAATTTTCTCCCTGCTGCTCGATTTCCGTGTTCTTGTGCGTAACGCACCACTTGAAGTTTAAATTTAGACGTATAACCTGCTATTACTCGACCCATGTTTCACTCAGAACTAATCAGGCAAGTCAAGTAAAGGCGAAAAGGTTATAACTCTCCCCCGCAATGCCTTTGTTCGGAGGGGTACCGCTATTTTCGCTAGTTGCGAACTTAGGAATGTTAAACGTTGCCAAATTTCGGAATAATTTCTACTCCTGAAATAATATTCCAAGAAAATTATTTTTTCTATAATTTCTGTCTGAAAATTGTGCTGCGGCCTATACACGCACGCGGCCTATACATGCGTAAATACGGTATTTCGTCCTGAATTGCATTTATGATGGTACATCTCTCATCGGTGCTAATCCCTTTTAATATTNCACTTTTCGTGACTGTACAGGAACATTCTATAGCTTACTGTAGGTGTAGAGAGGCTGTAAAGCTATTTAGGTTCCTGCTGTCACCGTACAGCCTGATAGGGACCTGCAACAGTGTGCAGAACTGCACTTTCCATGACTGTACAGTAACATTCTATAGCATACTGTAGGTGTAAAGAGGCTGGAAAGCTATTTAGGTTCCTGCTATCACTGTACAGCCTGACAGGGACCTGCAACAGTGTACAGACTGCACTTTTCGTGACTGTACAGGAACATTCTATAGCTTACTGCAGATGTAGAGAGACTGTAAGGCTATTTAGGTTCCTGCTGTAACTGTACAGCCTGACAGGGCCCTGCAACAGTGTGAAGAACTACACTTTTCGTGACTGTACAGGAACATTCTATAGCTTACTGTAGGTGTAGACAGGCTGTAAAGCTATTTAGGTTCCTGCTATCTGACAGGTACCTGTAACAGTCTGCCAGTTATCTTAATGAAGATATGCCTTAACCAAAACTATTACAGAAGGTCTTCCATTTACATACCTGTTGTCCGTCCATGTATCTCTTAATGAACCGAGATATTGTTACGTAAATGGACAAGAGCGGCAGGGGAAGTCTATAGGAAAGAAGCTCCTTAAGATGTTACATGCCACCATTCATACTGGCCCGTTAGAGGCTCTGGTTGGCATGAGCGAATCAATCCTCCTTTGCATCTCCACAAAACTCTTATTAAAATCCCTCTCTGTCCGTCCGACTGTATACACGAAACAACTCAATATCAGTTTACTGTATTTTCTTGAGATGTAATATTAAGTGGCTCGTGAGGCCGCGTCATAGCTGAAGCGGTTAGTCGCTGGCTCCCCACCGCGGCGACCCGGGTCTGGTCAAGTGGGATTTGTGGTGGACATAGTGGCGCTGGGGCAGGTTTTCTCCAAGTACTTCGGTTTCCCCTGCCAATCTTCATTCCACCAATTGATCCACAATTAGCCTGACATATCATCTGGGGCTGGTACAATAGGCCAGAAGTGGCCGCAGTACAAGGGACTTAGCCTCACCCCACTAGCAATAAAAAAAGGGAATTGTGTAATTTGCCAACGCACTGAAGTTTTTTGTTAAAATCGGGTAAATATGTTCGACAATTTACAAGCACATGTAAACAGGCTTCTGCGTTCATTTAAGGGCTAACTCGCTAAGTACGTATAACAGCGAAAAATACAGTACTTGTAGCCATAGCTGTAGACGAAAATTAAACACATAGTTTATTCAACAATTCGTACGTATATCGACATAATAAACACAGTAAAAATGTTACGGATACATTTTCTTACTGGTTCTTGATTACGTTGGCACTCTTCGTATAATGTTGTGAGCACTGTGGCATTTCTGCTGAAAGTCAGAATTATTAAGGCAGCAGAGACAGCCGTTGTTAGGGAACGGCTCTGAAAACACCCACGTTTGTTGGCAATGGCTCAGTAGCCGTCATGTTGTTTCCTCGTCAACGAGAGAACACGCAATAATGGAAGCGGTTTTTTTTTCTGTGTAGTCAGTGCCAAGACTATATAAGGAGGACCAACTTCCAATATGAGACAGAAGCTACTAGAAAAAGGGCAAAATCTGCTGTACTGATCCTGGACTGACAGAGGCCCTGTATATATATATATATGTTTTACATGTTTAACATTTGAAATGTAAACATGTTTTACTTCATAACAAGTAACTTACTACTGCAGACAGTGATTCTATCAAAAGAGAGACCCGTCCTCTCGTCATAGAGGGCGCCCCACAATAACAAGACCGTAATTATTATCTGGTCATGAGGCCCAGAAGGAGGTGGACAACAAGACTTATTGACCGACTGACTGATCGTCATCGCAATGTGACTTTGACTTTGATTTGGACTTCGATTATGAGATAGTCTGGAGATGACAGAAGAGTAGGAGGTTGGTGTGAAGTGGCCGTCAGCCTGCGAGGAAGTGAGCCCGGAAAAAGAGGAACGTCCACTGTTGGAAGCCGTTACCAAGCAACGCAGTGAGGACAGTGAAGACTGTGACTGAGAATACTAGCCTTTGTATGTGCTAGAGACTTATAAAGTGTAGTCACGAGTTGTGTGTTGCAGTGCCCAATAAATCCGATCACCAATCCAATCCCGCATATAGTCACTCAATCACCAGGCAGAACTGCAGTCGAAAATCCTGCAAGCAGGAAACCACGCATGTAGGGCTTTATCACCTAACCTTCTCAGGGTTAGTCACAGCAAGTTTCAGTCCGATTCAGTATCTGGCCGATATTGTGACGGATAAGCTGCTGGTCAATAACTTCACCTCGTCTTATGTAACCCAAGGTCCGGTGGCGTTATTACAAGAGCCCGCCATCCGACCTTATCACAGGCCAATTGTTATGTGAATTTGGCCGTCAGCACAACAAAAGGAAGCATATCCTCGAGACGGAGGCAAAATAGATGTTGTGTCTGTTGGATGCGCCGTGCCGTTACATGACGAATAATACATCAACGTGGGTAACCCCCACCCACGCACATAAAATGTTCAAAGTCCAGTTTTCTGCACTTCAATCCAAAACCATCTCCGTGCGTATATGAGCAAACGGGAGTGCACCAATCAGGATAAAGACCTACAAGGCTCAAGATAGCGAGTGCAGCGCCACACGACTCTAAGACATCAGAATTCTACGTTTAATTGTAATACAATTTAAGATGATTTAGGTTAGGAATTTTTTTTTATTGCTATTGGGGTGGGACTAAGTCCCTTGTACTGCGGCCACTTCTGGCCTATTGTACCAGCCCCAGATGATAGGTGAGGGTCATTGTGGAGCAATTGGTGGAATGAAGATTGGCAGGGGAAACCGAAGTACTCAGAGAAAACCTGCCCCAGCGCCACTTTGTCCACCACAAATCCCACTTGACGAGACCCGGGATCGAACCCACGCATGTAATAGCAAAAGTACCAACATTCCCGGGGTTGCCTTTCCGAGGGGAACAGCATCCTCGCTGCTTTGGGGGAACCCCCCAAACGTCTCAGTTCCCTCAACAATGTGAATAGCAAGGCTTGTTGGTACCTGTTGCAGCTTGTCTGACGTTCCTGATCGTCGGGACATTTACGTCCTGGACTTCGCCAACGCTTCCCAAGCTGGAGGCCGCTGATTCGCCGATTCCCATCACCCGAGATCAGGGATCGTGGATCGTATCCTTAACAGGAGTGGGTGGTATCTTGGCGCCAATTCCTGCCGGGTACCTGGTCAACAAGTACGGCCGCAAGAAGCTGTTGCTCTTCACAGCACTACCCTTCATCCTGGCTTGGCTACTCATCATCTTCGCCAGGTACTGAACCAGGCACAGGAGGCTTGGCTACTAATCTTCTTCGCCAGGTACTTAACCAGGCACAAGAGGCTTGGCTACTAATCTTCTTCGCCAGGTACTTAACCAGGCACAAGAGGCTTGGCTACTAATCTTCTTCGCCAGGTACTTAACCAGGCACAAGAGGCTTGGCTACTAATCTTCTTCGCCAGGTACTGAACCAGGCACAAGAGGCAGTGGAAGGTAGAAAGCACCCAGTTTCCTTATCGGTTATGTCTTCTTTCCTTAACTTAAGAACCATCTTCCCGAAACCCACGAAGATAATTATGAAGGTCATGCCACTACGTGCATTACAATGCTGCCATGTTTACACGTATCAAACACTTAGGTCAGTAGGGAACTGTTTGCAAGTGTGAGCAGAATATGGCATGTGACGAGCCGGAATATGTAAGAACTTACGATTAATTTGTATTTAATAACCAAGGGGACCGCCTCTATGGTCTAGTGGTCAGAGTTCCTGGCTACAGATCCAAAGGTCCCGGGTTCGATTCCCGGCGCTACCCGATTTTCTGAGAATTAGTGGGTCTTCGTGAGGATAATTCAAGAGCTATTTCAAGGAAATAGCATCTCCGGCCTAGGAAACGGAGATTAACGACCGTTGGAATCTGTTGCGCTGATCACGTGATACCCTCTATCCGCAAAAGTTGACACTAACTTAGCCGACAAACGGCGGTTGCTCAGTCGATATAGTTCACTTGCAGACTACAGGCCACGGAGTAATAACCAAGGGTGAATGAATATGGGCTGAACTAACCAGTCAGCCGTCCAGCCTAAGATATTTAGACTTTAAAACATTCTCAAAAGATTCATTGGGAAGGCTGGACAAACCCACCCTTCAAAGGGCGGCATTTGACATGCTCTACATGTCACGTGACGGTCAGTAGGGTGGTGCAGGGCAGTTAAACTGGCATGGCGGAGAGACTCCGGTAGAAATACATATTACAATGAAATTAAAAGGAAGAGAAATGCTGGAAATAAGACCCATATCCCGTGTACTTCACGAAACTTTGAAATAGGGCTATCAGAATACACTAAATTATTTTCACCACTGTTTTGTATGGATACGAAACGCGGTCTCATACTCTGAAGAAGAAAAAACTCCGTGGTTTTAGTCCGCAAGTGAACTATACCGACCGAGTAACCGCCGCTTGTCGGCGAAGTTAGTGCCAACTTTTGCGGATAGAGGGTGTCGCGTGGTCAGCGCAAGGGATTCCCACGGCCGTTAATTTCCGTTTTCAAGACCGGAGTCGCTACTTTTCCATTCATCAAGTAGCTCCTTAATTATCCTCACGAGGCTGAGTGGACCCCGTTCCAGACCCACTACTTCTCAGAAATCTGGATATGTAGCCAGAAACTCTGACCACTAGGCCACAGAGGCGGTCCTCATACTGTGAAACTAAAAAAGAAAATTCAACTCGCCCCTGTACTTAAATAAGCACCACGCCATGAAGACTTAGGGGAGAATGGAGGTATAGCTGCACGCGTTTTTAACCTTGGCACTAGATGGGCATGAGTGATCAGGTTCACGCCTCGCCCGCCTTATCCCCGAGGAAACAACGCCTGATACCTATTGGGTAGGAGGCTGGGTGGGCCCCAGAGCCGGTCTGGACGCCATGAAGATGAAAATACACTCTTGCTCGTACTCAGAATCGAAGCCCGGTTCTTCGGGCGGGAATGAAAGCGATGAGTCTGTAAAGGGTCGGATCATGGAAAGAAGAAATTCCTACAGAATTCTGATGGGGAAGTCCCTTGGAAAACGTCTACTTGGAAGGACTGAACGAGACTGGAGGATTAAATTGAGCCTTAGCGTGACTTTACGATCTGTTCGTGTTCGGGTCGTGCACCACGGGATGGCTGCAATGAAATTAAGGTTAAGCATGGCGGGGTGCATATTTCGTGCAGTGGGGCGACCCCATGTGGCAAGACCTTCATACCTAGCTTCGTAAGGATCTGCCTGCTGCTGACCCATGAGAGTCAGCTGCTTGCTGAGTCACTATATGCGCGACTGATACTGCTTACAGGTCAGCGACGGAGATGCTGGTGTCGAGAGTGGTGGCTGGGTTCGGCGTCGGCATCGTGTTCACAGTGTGCTCCATGTACGTGGCAGAAATAGCAGAGAACAGCGTGCGAGGAATTCTGGGTACGACCCTCAACTGTGACTCAGAACAATGGCTCTGTAGTGTGAGAACCACAGCACGCATGATTGCCGTGTGTGGGAAAATGCAGAGTTTGTATAATGCTCCTTCCAACCGCACTATGGTCCTGGGGGTCGATTCAACCTCTAACAGAAAAGAGTACCAGGAATTTTCCTGGGGGAAAAGGGTGACCGGCGCGTAAGGCTGACAACCTCACTGCCATCTGTGAGCCGATTGTCTAGAAAATATGGGAGCCTCGGCGTCTCATAGCCCTATGGGCCTCCACGGTATGTTACAAGGATAGCTTTACCATTTTTTTTTTTTAGTTTTACTTTTAAAGCAGGTGGGACGTACATTTACCCCTGTGCTGTGCTACTTCGCGCCATTCTGCAAACTGCAGCACGGCTGCGCACAGTTCCTCTTAAGCTAGAGGCTCTCTCCTGAACCAGGAGTCGGAATCAGAAGCCGTTGCTAGGATACAGGGAGACGAAGGACAACAATAGGGAGGAACAGAAGGGAAAGACATGCAGTACAGGAGAAAATGAAGGGAGTGGAGTCAGTGAGTGGGAGCCAGCGGAGTCAGTCCTTAATAGAGGGGGAGTGACCAGTTGTAGTCAGACGCCTCCTCTCGCGGAAGAGAAGGCCCCATTTCAGAACATGTAAAAATCTGGAATGAACAAAAACATGAACATGGGTCCCGACAGAGCCCGATACCAAGAGCGACTATGCTGACGTGGACCAGCAGAAAATTACTGGACCGGACAGGTGAACGGAGAGGAGCTACACGTACGACTGGGGCAGAGGAATGAAAGAAGGTCAGTCGGGTAAATTGCTGCACAGTCGTTCCTGGTTTCTTTCTGTTTCACGACTTTGACTGGGTGGATGAGGGAATGATTTGAAAGTTAAGAAGAGGGAGGACGGAGAAGGGATAGGAATGGCGAATGCAATGCGGCAGAAATGAGATGAGGTAAAGGTACAAGAGGAAGAACTGTTAGCAACGGCAGTAAAATAGTATGAACACAAATTCTAAGCGCTGGGCGCCACGGTGACCTGGCTACTGCTCTAGACCGATTACTCTGGCACTGTGACGATCATGTACATTGCAGGGACGCTGATGCAGTTGCTGATGAACCTGGGTTCAATGTTCGGGTACTGCGTGGGCCCCTACGTCTCCTACACCGCCCTCGGGCTGCTGTCCGCACTATTCCCCGTCGTATTCCTGGGGCTGATGCTGTTCATGCCCGAGACTCCACACTTCTTGCTCATGCAAGGCCGGCGAGAAGAGGCAGAAGTCACCCTCATGAGACTGCGCGGGCGGTCTAACCGGCAGGATATACAGGTGAGGAACTTGCAACCACGCAGACGCCTTCCACAACACAAAATGGCGGACAAGGGTAATGAGGCTTCAAGACTAAACTGGATATCAAACTTTCTGATTACGTGTATACTGCTTGTGGCTACTGTCGTGGTTGAGTATAAAACTCGGCCTCTCACGTTAAGGGAAAGAACGTTGCTTGAGAAGCGGTTCCTAACGACGTTTCTCGACCTAACCCGGAGGAAGAACGACATTAGAGAAAATTACCTGATGAGGAGCTTCAGAATCTGTACTCTTCGTAAAATATTATGAGGGCGATGAAATCAAGAGACGATAAGATGGGCTGGGCACTTAGCAGGTATGGGAGAGGAGAGAAATACATACAAATTTTGATCACAATATCTGAAAGAAAGAAACTGTGTGGGAGCTATAGGCGTAAATGAAAGGACAGTATTAAAATGAATCTTAAATAAATTGGGGGTGGAGGAAGTGTAAACTGGATTCATCTGGCTCAAGACAGATAAATGGTATGCTCTTGTGAACAACCGCAACGAATGCCCGGGGCCCATAAAATGTCACTCACCAACACAACAGCAGAAGCAGTAAATCACACCCCCAACAAGACAACCAGTAAACAGCACTAAAAAGCTAACATGCTTACAGTAACAAAGAACAAAACAAGGACATAACGAAGGAACCGGCCGCAGGATGTCGAAGTTTGAAACCGCCCACGCAGCGTGGCACGCGCCCGTCGATGACATAAAAAACTGTTACGAAATATCCCCGCTTGACCACTGATAACAAGGTGCATCCAACATGGGCCACGCCGTCATAAAAATAAACAAGAAAACTTTAAAACTGGACGCACACTTTCCACTTCCCCCTACTCATTTTCTCACACAACCCCACCCCAAAAAAACACATTAAACAAAGTAACTTTAACAAAACTAATAAAACAATAGTTTTTTCCCTTTGGCGCTACGGCCCCAATTTGGGCCTTGGCCTACCTCAATGAAACTCTCTGTTTCACTTCGGTTTACTAGATCTTAGACATGCGGTAAGACTCCCTGGGGAGGTGATCAGCTCGTCGCAAGGCATCTACCTGTACACAAACATACACACAAACACTACACATCCATGCCCTGAGTGGGATTCGAACCTACGATCCCGGGTTCCGAAAGAGCGAAGACAGTGCATGTCTTAGACCGCTCGGCTACTGTGACCGGCTAAACAATAGTTACTTCATAAAATTTTACTAATTACTGATATATATTTTATTGTATTTAAACACTGTGACCTATATCTATTTGTGTATATATATATATGTATGTATGTATGTATGTAAAAAAGTAAAGGTATCCCTGTAGGAGGCCGTGGAGGCCCATAGGGTTGTGAGACGTCGAGGCTCACACATTTTCTAGACAGTCGGCTCACAGATAGCGGTGAGGTTGTCAGCCTTACGCGCTGGCCGCCCTTTACCCCCAGGAAGATTCGTGGTACTCATTTCTATTAGAGACTGAGTCAACCCCAGGGCCATAGTGCGGCTGGAAGGATTAGGTCAATTGATGACCTCATCAGGACTTGAACCCGCGACCTTACTGGTTTGTATTTTACATAGTGAGACCAGTTGCAGCGTATCCGTTGCGTAACAGTTCGGTAACGCACAGTGACACGTGACACTGTTTATAAAACGCGCGACGATGGTCAAAACGACGTAACATTTCAATGAACATCAAATTTCTGATTGATGATGGATGTACTATATACTAATACTAATACCGTATTTACGCATGTATAGGCCGCACAACAATTTTCAGACAGAAATTATAGAAAAAATAATTTTCTTGGAATATTATTTCAGGAGTAGAAATTATTCCGAAATTTGGCAACGTTTAACATTCCTAAATGAAGTGTGATTTCGAATATTTCGAATATAAGCCGCACCCCAGTTTTCCTCTTGAATTTTTGGCAAAAAATGTGCGGCCTATACATGCGTAAATACGGTATGTTGACTAGCTGAGTAGCTGTTCGCTTCTCAAGACATCTCTCTCCATGGAGTTAGTTAGTTATGTCTGGTGGCTCAGCCAGACTGGTTATGGGGCGGATAATAATTAAGGATTCGGTTGATGGCACAGACAGGAATTTTCCACTCCGTCACCACATCCAGATACATTGGCGCCTCTCCAGTGCGATCTTTCCGCAGGGGTAAATGGGACTGGACCGTGATAGTGCAGCGTGTACCGAGGTTAAGGTCGCGTGGCACTTTACTTCCACTTTTCCTCCTCGGAATGGTCGTACGATGCTAGAACGACTTCACGTTAACATATTTTCGCTGACAAAGCACTAGAAATCTATCTTACGTTGCCAGGACAGGACACTGTGCTGTGTCTAGAGCCGGTTTTGGCGAGGAAACCCCAGCTTGTATCCAATCACTTAACTGACTAAGAGAGACTGGCTTATAATCTGAAAGTAACTTAACGCGACAAGTTATTTAGTAGAACTTTCCCCGTACCACGCCCCTCATTTGCTGAATTAACCAGTGGCACTACTACCGCCACCATGTCTCGGTCGTCAGCGCCTCGTTAATGCTAAAAGTTGACTCTTGTTGGTCGCCCTGCAGGAGGAGCTGGCAGGCATCGAGACGGCGCTGCTGCAGCAGATGAAGGACAAGGGCAGACCACGTGACCTGATCGCAACCCGGGGCACGCGCCGGGCCCTCGTCGTCATGATCGGCCTCATATTCATCCAGCAGTTTGGCGGCATCATGGCTATCCTGAGCAACGCGCAGGACGTGTTCGACATCACCCCGGGAAGCTCACTCTCTTCCAGCGAGTCCGCCATTGTCGTGGGAGGTATTCAGCTGCTGGCAAGCGTCGGCACCTCCTCGCTCGTGGACCGTCTCGGACGTCGCCCGCTGCTCCTCGCCTCTACCTGCGGTTGCGCAGTGTCCCTCGCAATTATGGGCGCCTACCAGTACGTCCACCTGAGGACGGATGTCGACACTGCACACTACGACTGGCTCCCTCTGGGTTGCGTCGTTGTGTTCTTGGTCACTTACTGTTTGGGGGTGGGGCCGCTGCCCATCGCCATGATGGGCGAGATGTTTCCTTCGAACATAAAGGGCCTGGCGCTCTCTATCGGCTCCATGCTCCTGTCTGTCTGTTTCTTGATCGTCACGAAGCTGTACCAGGTGGCAGTAGATGGGCTCGGCTCATACTTCACATTCTGGTTCTTCGCGGGAGTGTCAGCGGCCGGCGTAACTTTCGTCTTCTTCCTCGTTCCCGAGACCAAAGGCAAGTCTCTAGAGAACATTGTGTTGGAACTCAACGGCGCCAAGACAGGAAAACAGGCGCCCAGCGTCGAGCCGGTCCAAGTGCATGTCTCTACAATCGCAGCGTAAGGACGCCAGTTCTCAAGAGGCTGCTGGAACTCCATGACGACAAGAGAAAACACTCTCTTCTCGCCAGTTTAGTGCCAAACAGAGTCGTCGAAAAATCTTTTCTTTTCTTCAGTTAATTTTTCTTTCATACATAATTACATTTTCTTAAATGAACAAGTAATATTTTGAACTTGAAGCTCTGACACCGGCGTCTATGAATAATTCTGGAATTAAAGTCGAATAGTTCGGTGAAAGTCAACCAGTAATTCGGAGGAGTAAATCGCCTCCGTCTTCAGGGTTTCAGAGAGTAAGCAAGGCAAGAAACCATCAAGCTGGTAGCAAGCAGAGCCGACATTTTGAAGTTTTTCCCCCCCAAAAAACACAAAACTCCTCAATAACTACTAATATGTGTTTTAATTCGTAAATTTGTCCATTTCTTAGTGTAGCTTCAAGTGGGTATGCTGCACCACTCCCAGATGTGTATGGCGCGTTGGTGGAATGAGAATTGTCAGGGGAAATTGGAGTACTGAAATAAAACCTAACAAGTGCCACTTTGTTACAGAAATCCAACATGATATGAACTGGGGATGAACCCGGACCGTCGCAGTGGGAAGCTGGCGACTGACACCCTGACCTATGGCACGGCCAGTACCAACCTTTCCTGACACAATTTTTTTTTAAGATCTCTCATGGAATGGTGACGCCTTCTTCAGGTCTAAGGGTTGGGGGTACAGCGATCTCCGTTTCATGCAATACCGGGCTGGCGATGTGGCGATCTGAAGAAATGGAGCTCGAAGTGCAAGGCTTATATTATTATACACAAACATATTGCAGTACTTGCTTCGTGTTGCATAATTATTCGCGTTTGTGATTTTCGAAAAGCTGAGGGTTAGGAGATTACCCCTTTTCGTTCAGCCCCAGCCAAACTATGACGTCTATTCGTGCCATACATGCAAAGGCGACCTTCTTCAACCCAACTCACTCACCCACTAACCTGAAGGGTTTTGTGAGGTTAGAAAAGATTTCTGGGTATGATGAAGAGTAGACTCGTTTACCCATATTTCGAGGGAATTTATTGCCTTCTGATCCTGAAGATGGAGGCAGTAAATTCTTCCGAAATGTGGTTAAACTTATATCAGATGACACGGAGTCACATTCTGAACGACAGTAGCCTATTTTTTCAGTAAGATTTAAATGTGGAATAGAACTGCTGTAAGTTGGTGGATACGCTCTCACCGAGCTGTGTGCAAGCGAACAAATAAATTACCTATACCACACACAGTTTATTTAACTTTTACGTCTTAAACAGTTACCTCGCCCCACTCCTTCTCTTTCACTCTCCATTTATCTCCTTCACTTCTTTCTTCCAAATCCCTTGACAGATAAGACAACATGCAGTGTGGGTGGGACTGGAACCAGTAACCTACGGAAAGGCCGCTCCATAGCTCAAGCGGTTAGTCGCTGGCTTCCCACCGCGGCGGCCCAGGTTCGATCCCGGATCTGGTCAAGTGGGATTTGTGGTGGACAAAGTGGTGCTGGGGCAGGTTTTCTCCGAGTACTTCGGTTTCCCCTGCCAATCTTCATTCCACCAATTGCTCCACAATCACCCTCACCTATCATCTGCTGGTACAATAGGCCAGAAGTGGCCGCAGTACAAGGAACTTAGTCCCACCCCACTAGCAATAAAATAAATAACCTGACCACTCACCTACATATAGTGGCGAGGCTGAGAATGCGTGGAGCTATGCCTCCACTCCCCCATATGTCTTTATGACACGGTGATTAATTATGCACATGGACAACTGTAAATCGCTTTTGGGAGTACGAAAGGCTATTAGCGGGCATCTTTCTATTCGCTTAAATACTTACTAACTTACTAACTTACTTACTTACTTACTTATGGAGCTGAACTTTTCTTGAGGAGAAACCAAATCTGCAGCTACTCAAGAATTTCCCAAGTCAAGGAGGATGAGGTCGGCAGGGCATGTAACACGAATGGGGGAGAAAAGGAATGCATATAGGATACTGGTGGGAAAGCCAGAAGGAAAGAGGCCACTGGGAAGATCATGGCGTAGGTGGATGGACAATATTAAAATGGATCTTAGAGAGATAGGATGAGATGGTATGGATTCGATTGATCTGGCTCAGGATAGGGACCAGTGGAGGGCTCTTGTGAACACGGTAATGAACCTTCGGGTTCCATAAAATACATACATACACACATATACATACATGTTCTCTGTCTGTAGTGACCACACATAGGTCAGGAGGGTAGAGCCTTCTAACTCAGTACAAGCTGATGAACTTCAACTTTTCACAGAAGCAAGGTATGTGTTTACAGAACAAAAAATGATCAACTGTTCTAGAAAAATCCTACTCGTGGTAGTTAAGACAAACTAGTAAACGCCGTATGAGGCTTTACGATCTGAATATCTCCTTAAACCTGGCTTTGAACTCCCAATCCTCTGGTGTATAAGCTACAGGAAACGTTCAACGAACTTTCGTCTATAGATGGTTCTAAGTCAAACTCAAGAGCGGTAACGTGAGGTTGCAATACCGATTTCGATGAGGTTGAAAGAAAACCATAGAAACATATGAAGAGATAATACTTACAATTGGGAGCCTTCAGATTCGAAGTCAGGTCACTTTCAGTTGCTGCGCAAGTGCAGTCTCAAACAGTGTGGTATTCAACAATTCTTGCAAGCTCACAGCAGCTAGGCCCTACAAATTACTTACGGAGAACAAACACACACGCTCACAAACTGTTTTCGTCTCTTGTTGGTCAAGTCATTTGATATTAAATACGTACTGGCCATCATAACCTCAAACACTGCTTGCAGTAGTGACGATTAGGAAGGTTGGGAGGTTTGGGGAGAGGGTTGCACATCTGCACCTTGGATTGTCATTGGTTAGTTTCGCTCCTGCCCGCGCTGAGATGTCACACGATTCCCTGCAGGACTCCAGAGGCGGATCGTACGCTAGAACAATTTGTGTAGACTCAGTTCATGATATCGCTGAGTTCCATCCGATTTGTTGTGCTTACAATTACGAATGGAGGGGTTACCGGTACGCAAACACATGTTTCGACTCAGTTAAGCCATCATCAGGGGATACTTGAGCAATACACAATTTGTGACAGAATACGTATAACTACAGTGCTAATATAACATTTTTTGTTAATTAAAATTTGGTCAGATCAGGTGCAATACACGTATTATATTGTGGCATGCCGCCAGAAAGCCGGAATGGTTGAGGAGGTCAGGGTTGATTTCCTAGGCAACGACCAACGTTCCCATGACAACAGCTAGGAATCGGAATGCATCCATTGCTATGCAAAGGCTAGCAATCTAACAATGGAGTTTCCACCGTTACACACGAATTATTTGAAACAACTTTTGCAAAGCAGTGGGCGAGGTTAACCCTTCGACATGGTATTCTCTGTTGGGTACGAGTGCACATTATAAGAGACCAACTGCGACAAGAGAGTACCAAGGGACTAGGACCCGAGAAAGACTGCGCTGACAGGGACCAGCAGCATATAAAAAAGACAGACCCGTCCTCTCGTCAGAGAGAGCGCCCACAAAAAACAAGACCGCAACTGTCAAACGGTAATAAATATCTGGTCATGAGCCCCAGGAGTGTGCTCGACATCAAGACTTACTGACTGACTGACCGATCGTCAGTCGCAATGTGACTTTGACTCCGACTTTTTGAGACTAGTTCAGTTTGTATTTGACCTTAGAAGAGTAGAGTTGGTATTCGGCAAGAGAACAGAAGATTTCTCATCCGACTAGAGCAGAAGACACTTCACCGAGAATAGCGGTGCGAGAGTGTCGTAACATTGAAGAGGAAACGTCCGAAAACGTTATAAGTTGTGAATAACTGTAAGTGTAAAAGTGACTGTCCAATTCGTTCAAATCCGAGAACTCACAAAATTTCTTGTCGCGTTGCCTAGCAAACACGCGATAATATACTCGTATACACCCCTAGGCACCTTCTCCTTCCATTGGTTCAGTTTAAGTTTTAAATTTTTAGTACCTATGTGTAATATTAATTTAAACTCAAACTTCAATGGCATGACAAGCAATGAGGCGAAAAATAAGGGTTCAATCATCAGCAGAGCAGGGATTTTCTCTTTGAATGTTTATGCCAGACCTTTGGCCAGTCAGTGACTACCGTGGGGCCCAAGCTCCAGCATGATTAACAATTTCGGAAGTCTAGAATAAGTGGACTCTAGCTGCCATGTCCACACATGCTTCCGGAGTTCAGTACACGGCCTAATTCATCGTTATGTGTATCTTTAAGAATTCATCAGCATAGCATACAAAATGAATCCCAATTATTTCAATATCTCACTCGTCTGGGTTATAATGTGCAGTTCGGAGAAAGCCCGACGTTTCGGGGAAACATATCTCCTCAATCTTCAGGGCAGAAGAGTAACCCAAGCAAGAAACCACCAGGCACAAGCTTCGTTACAAACCGCTGTGAGAACCTCAAATTCAACATATTTCTAGCCAGTAGGGTTTGAGGTGCTCACACCGGTGGTTATGAAGAGTCCTATCTCCTTGGCTGTGACACCGTGTAGTCCGGTGAGAGTTGACGTTCAGTGGACTGCATGGCTTTCTATCCGAAGAGACAGAACTCTTGTATTTCTAGTAATTTCATAAATTGCCCGATCAGTTTGTACTGAAATGCGTCTGCACTTCTCTCAGCTTGAGAAACCAGGTTTTGTAGCCAAACAATATGTAAATTATGTTATAATTTTATGCTTATTAAATTTTAGAATCCCGAACAAATGGGACTGCCCCCCCCCCAATACAGAGACTCGTCTGATCGCGATCTTCAGATGTCACACGTAAACTAATTCTTACGATCCGACACTGGACAAGAGGTGCACCACCGATAGGAAGTGACGTCTTACATACGTATCGAAACTGACTCCCGCGTTATGTACAGTTGAGACGTCAGGGGGTCGCTGCATGTGGATCGGAAAAGGTGGGGGTTATCTGTGCGGGAACTTTTCAGCTTCGTATGCATATTTTGTGTGGTAGAACAGTGTACAGTGCAGTGAGTTGTGCTAATTGGGTGATTTGTAAGTAACTGTAGCCATGTATTGAGTTCAGTTGCATGTCGCCTAAGAAGTTTCAGAAATCACTTGAAAGTAATTTGCTTGGTGAATAGCAAGTCGTGGTACTTGATAGCAATTTATGGCGGTCTTTTTTTTTTATGGGACAAATGTTTAATTATCTGAGGTATTTTAAAATAAATAACTTAATTAAACGTGAATAAGTATTTGTTTGCAAAATTTTACAGTCACACCAAATCAGTTACTGTCAAGAGTATTTATAATTTGTAATTTATGAGCTGATATATTAACATGGAGAAATGATCGTATTTATTTTGTAGCCATTTTTGATTTCCTAGTTTCATGGCACCATCATGAACGTGTTAAAGAAATTAATGTACAAGCATATTATTATGCTGTCTTGTATGAAGTTAATAGTAATTATTTTTTTCGGCTTTAGTATCAGAATTATAGATTTATGTGATGCTGGACAGGAATTTTGTATTTTAATGTTTTCTAGGGAAGATGGCATGGCGGTTCGAAGGTTAAGGAAACATAATTTAGGTTAGTTTACCAGCAAACGGCGAAATGTTATGAAAATACCAGTTATAGGACCGAATTTTGCGTTCCAAAATAACAGTGAATCTTAAATCTGTTAGCCTGAAGATGAACGAAAGTATGCATTCACGCACATCATGTGTACTGCCACACTCTCTGCTGATTTGCATTCAGAAGCTACTCAGATCGAATCCCTGCCCAGTCCCATACATACACGTATTTACTGATGTTTACGTGAGTTCATTCTGATTCTCTAGGCACGACAGGTCACGACCACTTCCTTTCACATCCTCTCCAATAAAAATGTACATGCCTTCATCCCTACAAATATCACAGCTCATGAAGTGCAAATATGTAACTAAATATTCTTTACTTGCAGTTATCCATATTTTATATGAATAGAAAAGGAAATATTTCTGGATCTCCTGGAGAAGCTAGTACACCATACAGCTGAAGTACAAACAGTCGACTGCAGAAGCTGTACTTAGTGTTACTCGTAATGCAATTAATTAGGCCGCGCCATAGCTCAAGCGGTTAGTCACTGGCTTCCTACCGCGGCGGCTCGGGTTCGATCTCGGGTCTGGTCAAGTGGGATTTGTGGTGGACAGTGTGGCGCTGGGGCGGGTATTCTCCGTGTACTTAGGTTTCCCCTGCCAATCTTCATTCCACCAAGTTCTCCATCATCATAATCACCCGGGGCAGGCTACAATAGGCCAATCAGTGGCCCCAGTGCCGAGTGCACCCAGTTGGACTCCACCCCCCCATTAAGCGAATTAAAAAAATTAAAAATGCAATTAATTTTTTTTAATTGCCATTTCGATAGGTCAGTAAGAATGGCACAAAATAGATCCATTCCTTTTTGTGTCATGTTATTACGGAAGATATATACACTCTTAATATATGCAACATATATGTATGTATGTGTATTTATAAACAGATTGAGGCGTGTGTTTTATTTCAAGATATTGACATTCAGTGCTGCAGAAGCGGATTGTCTGCTCCGGGTTCTATGGAGAACCAAATGTATTTCTTCCAGTCTGACTGAGTTCTGTGTTCTTTATATTCTTCGTGAAGATTGACGCCATGTTGACAGGATTATCAGAGACATTACGGCTGTGATTTAACAGAGATACATACGCACATTTGTGCATCGCTACAAACTGTTATATGGCGGATTTCAAAGCCCCGCAGTGACGTCACAGACTCTGGAATTTCGTGGTGCAGACGTTCAAGAGTTCAAGAGGAGACTGGCAGTTCTCTGCATTCGTGTTTATACACGAGGATAACGTGTTGTGTTGAGATGTGTTGTGCTGTGCTGTGTGCGCAATTGCAACGACCCTCTGAGTACCTGTGCTACAGTGTTGTGCTGTTTGCTTGGGTTATATCAACGGCTGCAACGTTCCAGTGGGAACACCATCCATACGAGGCAGACTTCGAAGCGGGGACCATGGCAAGAGGAGCTCCGCGCAAACCGTAACGTTAAAACCAAAACAGTGCCGTACGGAACCTTTAGCGATTGAGGGCCCATCAGCAGGAGGATGGGGTTGGGTACTCCTGTTAGCAGTACCTTGCCAGGCAACTCTGTATTTGATGCGGTACCCGCAGTGACTCAGGGCTTAGGTTAAGATCGAGTTGGACACCCTGTGCATTTGATATTTTTTTTTACTTAGTTTGTAAGGTGTTGCCCTCCCCGTTAGGTGCCCCCGATAGGATTTCTGGTTAGGCTGCGTGAATGTAGGTTTTGTGTCCAGATGTGCCCTTGCTGGCATAGTGGGCGCTCATTTAGGAGGGTTTAGTTTTAAGTATTTCTGTGAGTTTTTTATATCACAGGGTGACAACTTGACAGGGTTCGGTCGGCACGACAATGAGATCAGTGCGAGAGGGAGAGAGATAAAAAGAACTTTAACGGCCCCTCCCTGTGAATAACTCGCATTGGAGGGGCAGAGATTCAGGAAAGTAAAACCTAATTTTGCTTTGGTCCATCTTTCACTTCAACGTTGAAAGACAAGTGACTGAATCTATACGAACATGAGCAGTGCATATTGAAATTTGTGACGTGACATGTTATGTTTGTTTGTGTGTATTTGCTGTGAATTTGATTTATAAAATGTTACGATGAGGAGACGCAAAGGCAGGTCAATGTACTGTGCTCCAGCTTCAGCATCAGAGAAGACATCGACTGTCATCACGAAGAAACACATCAGGTAAGTCAGTAGCAAAGCGACCGAACTCACATCGGCGACTTTTCACGTTTCACGCGTCAGGAAGAACCGCCGATTGTTGTCGGAGTTCGGGTTGCACATACCCAGAAACTTAACTGGCGCAAGAATGAATGTGGGTTTGAAGAAACTGCTGTATCAGGTTTAAACTGGATTTATTGGCGTTGGATAATCCTGGATACAGTCGCCAGGCTGCGACACCATATGGGGGTCACTTTGCGGCGATTTTCTTTCCGTCAGTCGGAACGTCACTGGTTTGACCGAGCTCACATGTTTTCATCTGATCTGCGCATCGAAGGGAGTGTCCTTCAGCCACGATAAATATGAGATGCGTTTTCAGACTGAAGAAGCCGTCGACTTTTTGTTTCGATTTTCCCACGAGGACTCATTACCGAACTGAAAACGCAAATTCCGACGTCGCTATGCCTCGTAATTTCTTGCACCAAATGACTCGCGGTCAGGCGTACTTTCAGTCTCACTGCATTGTTTGTTGAGTTGTGCAACTGCAGTAAACACCCGGAACTCTGTTGTGCGTCCTCCACGATCGACGACATTGAAACATCGGATCAAGACCCGTGCATTTATATGCAGATCTGTGTTACAGAAGAGACATCAAGAATACCAACATTACAGGTAACGCTCCTGTGTTCATTTTGCTGAATACTACCAATTTGTGTTTATCGCTCTTAGTATAGAAGTTG